TCCGGTTAAAGGCATGTACCTTGGTTACGAGCACATCCCTGGAAAGGAATGTGCAGGAGGCAGCTGGTCGATGTTTCTCTCTCATCGACGTTTCTAGCTCTCTATCCCACTCTCCTCCTCTCTGTAAAAAAATCAATAAAATATATATAAAAAATTAAAAAAAATAAAATATCTATCAGCAATGAACTCATTTCCCATCTAAATGAGAACATTTACTTCAATTCTTCATCTTACAGGACATATAAAACAACGTGGATATTTTCAGATATGATTTAGGTCTCTCAAATATTTCTGACCAAGGAACAGTAATTAAAAGTATACCAATGGTACACAATGAGTGCTCATGGTATATTAATAAAATATTTTAAAATTCCTTCTTTTGGGCACAGTTTTAGAGCAGTATTAGTGATCAATTTTGCATAATTAATGTATGTATTAAATTCTGCACAATATCAAACATTAGATAACATCCATAGTTGTAATTATGTGTGGACCATCTTTGTAAACTAATGAATGCAAGCTGCAGTCAGTCTTGTTCACCATTTTGTCCTTAGGCTAACATAATTGCTGATGTGATAAGTGCTCTAATCTTAGGTGGATATCAAATATTTACTAACCATAAAAATCTAGGTATGCAAATTAAACATTCAAAGAAACCTGAAAAAATGTACTGGACACAAATTATATATCTACCAATTAATGCTCTGAAGTGCTACCCCAAGTACTTTTTACACTATGATCTCAGACCCACAGAGACAAACCAGTTAGACATTGGTTGATTCTTGTATCGATATGTGCCTTGACCGAAAATCATATCCAAAATCTTGTCACATCAGGACAACCGTCTAATCACCTCTAATTATGGCCAGAGCTGTGTAACTTCTCTTAAGGCCAATCATCTTACTTCTTTGGAATTCCAGTTTGTGAGAAGACCTAGGTTGACCTTGTGTTTGAATCTCACTTTCTTCAACTGTTTAAGAAAGATGTGGGAGATTAAGTGAAGACCTAAAAGGACCCAGTCGCATTCACAGGATACAAGAGGCTCTCACAAGTCTGCTTCTCCCTCCATCCATTAGTCATTGTTCATCACCACCACTTACCCGAGAGACAGTACTCAGCTAACACTTTCAAACAATGTTTTAATTTTAGTTAACTAAATGTTCTACAAATAAATATGGGTGGTCAGATAAATCTTCACACAAAGCACATCAGTATGGCCTATTATTGAACATTCAATGTCATAGCCAATAGCCTTTTGTGGCTATTTACATTTAATTAAAGAAATAAAAGTGAAAGTTAACTCAAGTGCTCAATATCCCTATGTAGATAGTACAAATTTTTTATGATGGAAGAAAGTTCTACTGGACAGTTACTCTCAAAAAGCAAAAATTGTATCATGAACAGTGACTGGAAAAAAAACAAAAAACATCTTGTGAAATGTAATTCAGGTAATATAGGTTGAGGTTTCTGAAATCATGTATTTTACTGCACACTAAAATGAAAATGATTGAGGTTACACACGCAGTTCCATGTCTTAAATGATTTCCTAGAGAGTGAAAGCATTTACTAGAATTAGCCACCCCCCTATAAGCTGAGTAAATTGACCATTAGGAAAATTTTGAAAAACATGATACATCTTAAATCTGGAAGCTATCCCCAGGGTGGACTGAAGCATAATTCCAGACAGTTGCCTCTTTCAGGGAGTACAGTAAAGCATATACACATCCCAGCAATACTTAACATTGTTTTCGCTTAGCAAACCAAAATAACCACAGCAAGAACTTCTGCTCAATGCACACCACCTTCCAGTTTTATATGTATAGATTAAAGAAAAAAGAACAGGGTTGGGAGACTTTTTAATTGCAGACTCAAGGAACCTGTGACATAGTGGGATGTGTCAGTTGGAATAAACATACTTAATGTGCCAAGAATTGAGAACTGCAAGCACCATTTTATATATATAATCTAAGTTTTTTCCCCCTCAGGATCTACAACTCTAACAATGTCTTGCTCAACTGGGCATTCATCTATTGACTGCTTTCAACCTAAATATAAAAAATAAAAATAAAATAAAAACCAAAAAACCATACCCGAAAACAACAAAAAAACCCCACTTCATAACTTAAAATATTAACATTTATTTGCACTAATGACAGATCCTTCAGCTGGCCAAAGTATTTATATGTTACAAAAATAAATTCATTTACAGTTCACATTTTAAAGCTTTCACAAGCTAATTCTACATTCAAGTTCCTCAATTCTTGTTCCTAATTTTTATCGTAAGTATTTCAGTGTGTTTTCTGCTACTTGGCAAACTGGCAGGGACTCGGACGTCAGACCTAAAATGCCAGTTAAAATAATCCTTATTAATTTTTAAAAGGGAAGAGATAAAAATGAGAAGTCAGGAGATATATATCCTGGAAGAGGTTGGCTAGTGACTGGGGGCTCTGCACAATTCATCATTATCAGCTGAAGAATACAGTCACAATAGCAAGCTTAAGTTTAGACATGGTATATTACTCAAAAAAAAAAAAAAAAAAAAAAAAAAGAATGAGTGAAATGAAATCTTCAAGTGTAACTGAAAAGCTGCTTTACATTCAAAACTTCAAATTATTTGAAAAGGAAATGGCTTCACTCAAGTATTTGCATAAATTCTGATTCCCTTAGAAATCAGACCCATATTAAATGTTATCAATTAGTGATAAGGTTGGATTCCAATCTTTGAGTTTATTTAACCATTTTTATTTCCTCATTAAAAGAAATGAAAAACTATTGCCCAAACTATCACTAATCAAGAAATAAGATTTGCTTTGGCTCAGCTGGTTGGGCATAGACCTGCATAAAGAAGGGTTGCTGGTTCAATTCCTGGTTGGGAATATGCTTAATCATGGGGGAGGAGGGGCGGCATGCTGGGGGGACCAATCAATGTTGCTTTCTCATATTGATGTTTCTCTCCCCTCCTCTAAAAATCAATAAAACTTTTTTTTTAATAAGTGAGATTTAATAGTGGGCTACACCCTCTACCTTATAAACAGCAACTGTACCTGCTTCTCCGTGTATGATTTCACAAACATTTGTCTGCAACATGATTGTGTATGCATCAGATGTATACTCCTTAATGTAAGCAGCCCGTTTTCTCCTCCACACCCAAGAGCATTGTTTTCCTAACCCTTCACATTTACTTACACTTTACTGTAACAGAAATAACCATAGTGATTAAAACTTAGATTGAACATAACTTTTTTGTGTCTATTCTGTCACTTAACATTTTAACCTATTATAAAATAATGTCCCATTATTTCCAATGAGTGATCTGAAAACCACAGATGACTGAAGAAAGTGCCTTACTTAACTCATTTTTTTGAGTAAAGATTATTGCCTTGGCTGGGCTGCTCAGTTGGTTAGCGCAGCATCCTGATATGCCAAGGTTGCAGGTTCGATCCCCAGTCAGGGTACACACATAAATCAACAAATGAATGAATGAACAAGTGAAACAATCGATGTTTCTCTCTCTCTTCCTCTCTCTCTAAAAATCAATCAATAAAAAAGTTTTTAAAAAGATTACTCATTACATTTGAAGACTTAAAGGAAAATAATCTATTGCAGATGTAAGCAAAGGTGATAGATAATACCTATAAAGAAGTATAAAATTACGTTACTGATAGTCTGGATATTAAACCTTTTTATTAACGATAATCCTTTATGTACATAATAACAATGGGAGAAAGTAAATGAAATTAGCCTTCAATGGTAAAAGTGTCCAAAAGGTCACTAATATTAGTGTTATGTCAAACCATGGCATCAGAAGGCTGAGCTGAGGCAGGCCTCTCGAAGGGACATTTGGGAAGAAAATGAATATGAATGGATTATTTCAGCCAAAGTGAAACCAGGATTGGTGAACCAGGAAGAAGCTCAGAAAAGGCTTAATGCAGTCAAGATCACCTGCCTGGGCCCTCCACGGGCGTGCTGCCAGATAAGGCAGTATGTGGCCTACAGGATAATGCACCGTGGGGAAGAATTCTAGAACCTACTAAAAGGAAACCAAATTACAGACCAAATAACTCTGCATATCTCAAGAGTAGGTGAGCTCTATCCCCCAGGGCTGTGTCCAATTCCACGCAATCCAGAGGGAGGGAGGGAGGTACTCACGCCCACAAGCACCTGCTAAACTCCAGCAGACTCCAAGATAAGCTCTGAATAACTCTTCCCCTACCCCCTAGGACCAAGGGGGATCAGAGCCACCCCACCCCAGAGAAATGAAGAAAAAGGGGGGAGGAGGGGGGAATGCGAGTTCCCCTAGGGACCTTGACCCCACGCCGCCGAGACTGACACCGCCCTCAGTGAGAACCACGTTCCCCCATTCTATCCTCCTCCAGTTCCTTCCGAGTGACCTTCTGTTCCTCCTGCCTCGGGGAAAGCAGGAGGCCAGCCACCGCCATTCCTCCCCACCCCCCAGGAGAAGGTGTCTTCCTCAGCACAGGGAGGAAGGAAAAAAAAAAAAAAAAAAAGGCTGCTCCTCCCCAACCCACCCGCCCCGCAACTCCTGGGTGCAGACACGGTGGGAGGGAAAGGGAAGAGAAAAGCAATGGGAGGTGACAGCCCTACAGCGGCCTAGGCGATGGGATCTCCGCTCCGGGAGAAACGCGGGAGAATCCGTCCCCCCAGCACCCTGCCCCAATGAATGAACTGGATAAAACTGGGCAGGGGGTGCAGTTGGTCTGCGCAGCTCTCGCCAGAGAAAATGGAAAGGCCCTCGAGCCCGGGACTGGCTTCACTGCCCTTCGCACCCCGGCTCTCCCCCCCCCCCCCCGTTCCCACCCAAACCTCTCCCCCTGTAACCCTTTCCTCCCGAGAGAGCGCCCCCATCCTCCATCTACCTCAGACACCAATACCCCCACCCCCCCAGCACCACCACACCTCTGAACTGGGCCCAGCATCCAGCTTTTTTCCCCTTCTCCCCACCCTCTCCACAGCCCGCCCCAGCCCCGGCCGAGCCGCACCTGGAGATGCTCCTGAAAACGAATTGGCAGAATCTGGGCCATGGCGCTGTCGGGGGTACGGTCTCCTCCTGTCACTGGGGCTGCGGGGCAGTGGCTGCCCGGACTCTCCGAGGGAGAGGAGGAGGAAGGGGAGGGGGAAGGCCGGGCTCGGCGAGATCACTCTCCGGGGACGCAGGAAACTGGCAGACAGAGACGAGAGCTCGGGTCGGGGGCGGAGGCTCCAGGGTCCGGGAGAGCCGCAATGGCGGAACCGGGCGCAGCGCAGACTCCGGAAACGGCTGAGCCCCGCGGAGGGATCCCGGCGGCAGAACTCCGCCCCGGCCGCCTCACCCCCTCCGCCTGTGTACCCCTCCACGCAGCGCCGCGGCGCCGCGGCCGCAGGGATCCGGGGCGCAGTGCGCACCGGGCCTCGCCGCCGGCCGCTGCGGCAGGAGGGCGACGGGGGAAAGCGGAGGGACTACTTTTTTTGGACTCATCACTTTCCCCAGTCTCCTGCTGCTTTCCCCCCCCACCACCACCATTTTTTTTTTTTTTTTGCATTTTGCCACATCATGCGACTAGGGGCGGACGACGTCACTTCCGCTGGCGCTGTAGGTCCCACCCACGTACTTCCGGGCGCACGTGATGCTGGTGGGGAAGGTCGGCTGATGTGCTCTCGGAACTCGGGACGGGTTCTAGGGGAATGGGGCGGGGGGGAGGGTCTCCTGGGAGTGCGGCGTCTGCCGGGCCGCCCGGAGGATGGGGAGTACCGCTCCCTCTCCCCGCCTGGGCCCTGCTTGTCCACACCGACTCCCTCAGGAGGAGGACGCGGCGTGGGCGGCGGGCCCGGCCTCCCGCCCGCCCGGTGACTCAGGGAAACGGCCTCCCTGCGGCGCGCTCGCTCGCCGCCCTGGCGGCTGCGGCACGCCTCCCCCGCCCGGCTTCACCCAGTGGGTGTCTCCTTACAGCCAGGGAGGGGGCGCCGGGGCTTTAAAGCCCTCCCTGCCCGCGGGAGCGAGCGCCCCGCTGCCGGTCGGGAAGTTCAGTGGAAAGTGGTCGTCTCTCCGGGGGTCACTTAAGTAACTGGCCATCCGGACAGCGAAGGCCCTGTCTCACGTCTCTCAAGCTGGCCTTGTGGCGGCTTTCCCAAACGCTTTCTGCGGACATTTTGGCGGACGTGTATGTCGGTCCAGCTTCGTAATAAAGGTGTATGATGGTAAAGGGTTTGAGTACCATAAAGTACGCGGAAGAATTGGACCAAAATTGCAGCAGGAGGGTTTTTTTTTTTTTTTTTTTTTTTTTTTTTTTTTTTTTGCCACAGCAAGTCATTAGTGAGTCAGATTGAGATAATTAGGTGAAGAGTGGTTTGGAAAGTCTTAAGGTTCTTCCTGGGTGTAACTAATGTACACTCTCGGAGAAAGAGGTTAACTGCTGGTGGAACCACCTCCTCCTCTTTGCCTGTCAGTTTGGCAAACAGCTGGGGTGCATGTCGAGCCTTTTCACAGCATTATTGTATCTCGGGTATTCGTGATCGGTTAATAACCTCCCAGTCCCTTCTTGCTAAAATGGGAGCTGCAATATGTCATAATAGCACAAATACAATAGGAGACAAAAAGAGGTTAATTCTGTGCTTCTCAACTTTATAAGAGGTAATTATTCCCCCCCCCCCCAAAAAAAAAAGGTCTTGAGGAAAAACTCAACTATGAAGTGATTATTTTTAGTGTCCTTTCCAGCTAAACATAAACCCCTACTGGGTACACAGTAATTCTGTTTGTTAAGCAGTTTCGCCTGGAAAGTTTGCTTAATCATTGAATTGCTTTTACTGTTTTTTTGTGTGTTTTTTAAATATATTTTATTGATTTTTGTACAGAGAGGAAGGGAGAGAGATAGGGAGTTAGAAACATCAATGAGAGAGAGTCATCAATCAGCTGCCTCTTGCACACCCCCAAGGTACATGCCCTTGACCAGAATCAAACCCGGGGCCCTTCCCCAAGCCGACGCTCTATCCATTGAGCCAAACCGGTCCCAGCTGCTTTTACTGTTTTTTCCCCCCCAAAATATACATTACACACTAAGGATAAGAGAAGACTCTTTGGCTGGTAAGAAAGTAGAATGTTCTGCAAAGACAAGACTTGCCACCATGTTATGAAAGTGAATATTTATGTTTGGCAAAACCTCGTTTTGTTAAACCAAATACTTGAAGATGCTCTGTATTCTGCAACATTTTAAATGACCTTTCTAACACCAAGTTTAATAGTAGTTGCTTTCAATCCTTTCTGGAAGTAGACAAAAAACTAAATTTAAAATCGAAAGGAACGTTTTATTACAGTAAAAGCACTAGCTTAATTAAATAACATTTTCCAATCTCAGAATCTGGGATACAAGAGTTCTATCATGAACAAGCCACGAAAATTTTCTTTATTAATAACTCTTGCATTTTCATACAGACCTATAATTTTAAGTACATTCAGAATCCCTAAAGCAGCTGATTTTGGCTTGGATATTTGGTGTGGAATATCTAAAAGTGTGCTGAGGTTCTGTTAAAGGGACTTGCTGTGTCATCGTACACAGAAACCTAATGAATACATTTTTCCCAGAAATCATTTGGAGAGAAGAAAAATAGATTACAATATACCAGCTCATTTTGAACAATATATCCTTCAAAAAAAAATTCAAAAAATTTTAACCATTTGTATGCCATAAGCGTCTATAGATGCAAGTGGCGGACTTTTTTTAACTTAAATTCAAAATATTGCCCTAACAGGTTTGGCTCAGTGGATAGAGCGTCGGCCTGCAGACTCAAGGGTCCCAGGTTCGATTTCCGTCAAGGGCATGTACTTTGGTTGCGGGCACATCCCCAGTGTGGGGATGTGCAGGAGGCAGCTAATCAATGTTTCTAACTATCCCTTTCCCTTCCTCTCTTTTATGTCGTGACAGAAAAATTTGGTCCAGCCCGGCTGGTGTTACTCAGTGGTTGAGCATCAACCCATGCGCCAGTAAGTCGCCGGAATTATTCCGGATCAAGGCATATGCCCAGATGGCAAGTTGATCCCCAGTAGGGAGCGTGCAGGAGGCAGCCAATCAACGTTTCTCTCATTGATGTTCCTCTCTAAAAAACCAACACATTTTTGAAAATTGGTCCAGATGATAAAAATTAAACCCAAGCTCTGGCTTTTGAAGATCAATAATTTGGCTGAGATGATGAGAGCTTTTTATGGCAGTACTAGAGGCCCAGTGCACAAGTAGGGTCCCTAGGCCTGGCCAGTGATCAGAGATGATGTGCAGGGTGACCAGGTGATGGGGGGGTGGCACCCATTGGCATCGGCCTTGGCTGGCCCCATCCCACACCGACGCCAGTTGGAGCCTGCGGGCTAGGGCAGCTCCTGCATTGAGTGTCTTCCCCCTGGTGGTCAGTGCACATCATATCAACCAGTTGTTCCTCCATTCAGCTGATTAGCATTTTAGGCTTTTATTATATAGGAAGCTTTTGCTAAGGGCAAAGAAGCAGGGGGGAGGGGGCAGAGACTGTCAATCTTGGTTTAGAAGCCCCCTAAGGCTGAGTCACTGTTAACAGTTACCTGAGCAGTAACTGAATTACTGTTTTAAGGCACTACCTTAAGTTAGAGAAGATAACCTAATGCTGGGTTTACTTTTTCACTATGATAAAGTCTTAATAAGACTAGAGCTATAGCCAAAGCCGGTTTGGCTCAATGGTAGAGTGTCGGTCTGCGGACTGAAGGGTCCCAGGTTCGATTTTGGTCAAGGGCATGTACATTAGTTGCGGGCACATCCCCAGTAGGGGGTGTGCAAGAGGCAGCTGGTCGATGACTCTCTTCATCGATGTTTCTAACTCTGTATCTCTCTCCCTTCCTCTCTGTAAAAAATCAATAAAATATATTAAAAAAAAAAAAAAAGACTAGAGCTATAAATGTATATCATCCTGGCTTTTGGTTTCAGAAACTATTTTAGTAAGGTAGCTGTGTTTATAAGTGGTCAAGTTCTTTCCATTTGAAGCTATTTTTTAGAAGAATATTCAATAGTAGGGTGATAGCAAATACTGCATTGGTCATATGCTATTTTGAGGAGTGCTAGTTTCTCAAAACCTTTACTGTGCCCCTATTATATACTTTATGCTAGTAACTATGATATATACATGAATATCTCCATCAAGAATGACACCTCATCCCTAGACGGTTTGGCTCAGTGGATAGAGCTTCAGCCTACGGACTGGAGTCCCAGGTTCGATTCTGGTCAAGGGCACATGCCTGAATTGTGGGCTTGATCTGCTGTAAGGGTTCATGCAGGATTCAGTTGATCAATTCTTATCATTCATGTTTCTCTCCCTCTTCCTTCTTCTCTGAAATCAATAAATATATGTGTGTGTGTGTGTGTGTGTGTGTGTGTATATATATATATATATATATATGGAATGACACCTCAGGAAAACTTATTATAGTCCTCTAGTTGTTCGTTTACAAGCAGCCCCAGAATTAACTTGACCTTTTAAAAACGACGTGAGCTGGTTGCATTGCAAAAGCCAGCCACAAAGGCAATTCTCAAACATTGAGATTAATTTTAAAGCAGACTTTAAACCTAACCCATTATACCCAACAGATATTTAAAATTCAGATTTTCATGAAACCAAACAGGATATACTTTAGCTTTACCCAAGTAAGATAACTGGCTTTGACCTTTAAACAGCAGCTTTGAAACATCTGGTCCCCCCTAGGGCTGCTGCAAAGACTCCCAGCAGGATTAAATAAAGAGCAGCACACATCAATGCCCAGTAAGTGGCTCAGGTATCACACGACAGTGCCCATTTTATTTTGGGCCCGTACAAAGCACTGATTATAGGCAAAACCCAAAAAGAAACAAGACAAGAAAAAAAAAATACTTTTCATAGTGTTTTTTTTAAGAATTAAATGGATCTGAACTTTTAATAATCATTCACTCAGGCTTGTCTTATCCAAATTTATACAGATAAATTTTATAATGTATCATGGATGGCAATAAGATCTAGTGAATCTTAATTCTGTGTGAGGACTGAGCAGCCCTGTGGGAAT